AATTGCCCTCTTTTCAGTGGAACTTTCACCCTAAATTAGGGTGAAAGTTCCACTGAAAAGAGGGCAATTTTTAAAAAGCCTCCCTTGAGTAGCTTTTTCTGCGCATCTCAACGTTTCTGCCCATTCTCAACACATTCCAACCATCAAAACCATGCCAGGGCACCTCGTTTCTCTAACCCTAACCCTACCCTGGGGCAACCCCTAACCCTAAATCAGGGTGAAAGTTCCACTGACAAGAGGGCGATTTTGAAAAAACCCCCCGAGTGGCTTTTTCTGCCCATCTCAACGTTTCTGCCCATTCTCAACACATTCCAACCTTCAATACCGAACTAGACAAATCTGGTAATTCTTACCAAGCCTCACTACATTTTTAAATCGCTTAACTATCCAATTCTTTGCATATGGTTTACAGATTTACGCGGAGCCAAAAGTCTTGTCAATTGTGTTGATGTGCAGCTGTTCTTCTGCCTGGTAATTGCTCTCCCAATCTGGAGTACCATTCCTTTTGATTGGGAGCATTGCATGTTTGCTGGGGGCTCCGTCTTGACTTTTCTCCGCCTTCCAACAAATGTGGATCAGCAAACAGGAGCGCTATGAAGCAGGGCGATCCATCATTCACAGTAAGTGCTTCTAAATGTTCTCTTCACGGCCTGCCCCCCTTTTCTGGCTGCTTCTCATTTCATGCTCTAGCTACCTTCTCTCCCCCCTAAATGTCACGGCTTACTTGTAGTATCAGCTCCTGACACAAGAGTCACTATTTTTCTTCCCCACGAAGACCAACAGTGAAGAAATGTTGCCTTAACTCAAAAGACCTGCAGAAGGCACCTTATATTTATGAGGATGTATCTGCATAGAGTGGATGCCACACTTCAGCCCCTCCAATATTCTTGTGCATGTCTTTTTAGATATTTGTTAAGATAATCCCACCCCAACGCCTATCATGAAACCTTAAATAAAAAGAAGACATTTTACGGAGAAGAAAACTCTCCTTCATGACTCATGTTAGTTCCAGGTCTCCTTGTCATGCCAAGGTGCCGTATGTTCCTTCCTGCAAGTTCATGGCCTGGCACATCCTGCCGTTCCACACACTCAGAAAATCCACCAGATCTCTTTCAGTTCAAGAAAGCGAAAGAAGGTTCCAGTCCCTATGGAGATGCAGTGAGGGCCAAGCCCAGAGCTGCAGGAAACCCCCCAGAGAGCTTCAACTAGGCAACATCGAAATGAATCACATACTCTGGGCACAGAGAACCTGCAGCCTTTGATCTCACCAGACCCACATTTGCACACCTACTTTCTCTTCTACTTCTAGCTTGTGCAAGTGCATCGCACAGAAAGGTAGGGCAGGGAAGGGGCGGCACAGAAAGCATAAGCGACGTGTAGCTGCCAAGTATGTACTTTTGATCCTGGCTTCGTCTGCAGCCCCGGCTTTTCTCTACCATGTGTCAACAACCTTTGCTTAGGGGAAAGGCTCTCCACCCACAGCTTATGGCAACCTCAGATGTGGAGAGAAGGGGAGTTTGTATTCAGATATTCATACAAGTGTATAGGAGAAGCATTTTTCCAGGGGCCAACGCCTGGGAACATCCGATAAAGGTTAGCTTTTTAATTCACCTGCACACTCATACACACTTAAAGGGCTGCAACAATTAAGTAGATTGACGAAAACTGTCCTTCCAGTTTAGCACTTTTTAAATACAAGTGCTTAGAAAAAAAGCAGATGGCAAATACCACCTTTATGCCTTCCCCCTTTCCCCTAAGAACAAGGCATTTCTCTGTATACTCATAGTATAGCAGGGATAGTCCCCTACGGTCACAGAAAGCATAATTCAGAAATGTTGCTTTCCTCCACATGCAGGCTTAGCCAATCAAAACACACATTTTCAACTGGGGTAACAGCCCTCATTCAAACGAGCCAGCCACGGGCCTCTTTCCCAGAAGGTGGATCATATCAGGACAGCGACGGGGCAAACACATAGATGGGATGAAGCTTTGACATCACATACCACCCCGCTTTTCTTCCCGGCCAAGCTGTGAAGCTACACCCAGTACACTGGTTTAAACCCCTTGCAAACAGTTTCAGAGAACCACCTGGGAAAAGGAAAACTGACATCTTTAAAGTGAAGATATTCTGGGAAACAACACCGTGGGTGAGCGACCCTGGCCAAATATCAAAAGCTGCATACAAGCTTTGAACCAAAAGCAGGGGAAACATTGGTGGAGTCACTATCAACATACTGTTTCAACTAGTCACAAACAGACAGACAAGCAAACAGATGGAGACTTCTTGACCTACCCCTGGCTTAATGCTCAATAAAAAGGAAAAAAAACCTAACTAAAAAGGCATAAGAGTTACAAAACACAAATTCCAGAATGCTTGGGGATATTGTTGTTGTTGTTAGTCGCGAAGTCGTGTCCGACCCATCGCGACCCCATGGACAACACTCCTCCAGGCCTTCCTGTCCTCCACCATCCCCCAGAGTCCACTCAGGCTCATGCCGACTGCTTCAGTGACCCCATCCAGCCCCCTCATCCTCTGCCGCCCCCTTCTTCTTTTGCCATCTACTGTTCCCAGCATTAGGCTCTTCTCCAGGGAGTCCTTCCTTCTCATTAGGTGGCCAAAGTATTTGAGTTTCATCTTCAGGATCTGGCCTTCTAAAGAGCAGTCAGGGTTGATCTCTAGGACTGACCAGTTGATCACCTTGCGGTCCAAGGGACTCGCAGGTGTCTCCTCCAGCACCACAGTTCAAAGGCCTCAATCCTTCGGCGCTCAGCCTTCCTTCTGGTCCAGCTTTCACAGCCATACATTGCAACCGGGAAAACCATAGCCTTGACTATACGCACTTTTGTTGGCAGGGTGATGTCTCTGCTTTTTAGTATGCTGTCTAGATTGGCCATAGCTTTCCTCCCAAGGAGTAAGCGTCTTTTAATATCTTGGCTGCAGTCCCCGTCTGCGGTGATCTTGGAGCCCAGGAAAATAAAATCTCTCACTACCTCCATTTCTTCCCCATCTATTTGCCAGGAAGTGAGAGGACCGGATGCCATGATCTTAGTTTTCTTAATGTTGGGTTTCAAGTGAACTTTTGCACTCTCCTCCTTCACCCGCATAAAGAGGCTCTTTAGTTCCACTTCGCTTTCTGCCATTAGAGTGGTATAATCTGCATATCTGAGGTTGTTGATATTTCTCCCAGCAATCTTAATTCCAACTGGAGATTCATCCAGCCCCGCCTTTCTCATGATGTGCTCTGCATATAAGTTAAATAGGCAGGGGGACAGTATACAGCCTTGCCGAACTCCTTTCTCAATTTTGAACCAATCAGTGGTTCCGTGTCCAGTTCTCACTGTTGCTTCTTGACCCGCATATAGGTTTCTCAAGAGAAAATTAGATGGTGTGGTACTCCCGTCTCTTCAAGAACTTGCCACAATTTGTTGTGATCCACACAATCGAAGGCTTTAGCATAGTCAATGAAGCAGAAGTAGATGTTTTTCTGGAACTCCCCAGCTTTCTCCATGATCCAGAGTATGTTGGCAATTTGATCTCTAGTTCCTCTGCCTCTTCGAAACCCTGCCTGTACTTCTGGTAGTTCTCAGTCCACATACTCCTGAAGACTGGCTTGTAGGATTTTGAGCATAACTTTGCTCACATGTGAAATGAGTGCAATGGTGCAGTAGTTTGAACATTCTTTGGCATTGCCCTTCTTGGGGATCGGAATGTAAACTGACCTTTTCCAATCCTGTGGCCACTGTTGAGTTTTCCAAATTTGCTGGCAGCTTGGGGATATAGTTCAATGCAAAATGCTATGCCATTATTACCCAACCTGCCATTATTACCCTTTAGCTCTTCAGATACACTGCACAGCAACTCCCATCATCCCCAGTTAGCATGGGGAGGGCGATTCTAAATTCTGCACAGACAGATCAGATTTACAGAATTTGCTGTTCTTCGTATGGAATTCAAAGTGTTTAACTGCAGAATATACATGATAAAGTTTGGGAAGGACTAGAAACCATTCTGATTGTTGAGCTAAGAACTATACCATGAAATTTCATTTTAAAACAAATCCCAAATTGCTTCCAATTATTTCAAGATAGGCAGAAAGCAGCACTACAAACACAACTGTACTTAATATACACACATCCTGGTAGAGATTGAACAAAGTGTTTATTTTCAACATACGAAGAAAAACATTGTTTTAAAAAGCCAGTTTGTTCCCTTTAATTCCAGTGAAAATCTTTGCTAAGAAATGTAAATACCTTAAATTTTGTTCTAAAAAATGAACAAAGCAAAAAGAAAACAAAAATAAAACAAAAATGCAAACCAGAGAGGGTAGATAAAGAACCCCCCCCCACAATACACAAATTGTATACAATGAGGAAGTATTACAACAAAATTATAAAGTACAAAGCATGCCAGAATATGGGGAGGGCAGGAATAAAAATACAGGTGAGTTCGCTATGCTAAGTCACCTTTTCTTGAGTTTTGGGGTAAGAAAGATCCATGTATAGAAATACAACAAGTCCAGAAGAAGGATAAATCAAATTGCTAGGCTGAAGGATACGTATTATGGGGAATACATGTCCAGATCATGCCTCAGAGCTGGAAACTTCAGAGACCTTCCTTACATTGCCAACAAAAACACAAAACCAGCCGCAACATTCCTGTCATAATACAGTATCAGGTTTATTTAAGAAGTCTCCTTATTAAAAGAATCCTACAATAATAGCAGAGTTGGAAGGGGCCAGAAGGCCATCGGGTCTGACGGGACACCAGGTTAAACCATCCCTCTCAGATGGCTGTCCAGTTGCATCTTGAATGTTTCTAGTGTGGGAGAGCCCATTACCTTCTGGGCTGCTTGGGTCCAAAAGGAATCTAGTGATCTCTTGAGAGCAAGAAGTGACCTGGTCGTGAGCCTCTTAAGTGGGGCCCCGTGGTTCCTATTCCTGGCAATGGGCCGTGCAGCAAGGTGTCGACCCCCATCTCCTCGGGAGAAAAAGTCAGTGGTCTGTAGCCGCCTTTCGCAACTTGGTGCCCTTCAGATGCATGGGCCTGCAACCCCAGCGGTCCTAGCCAGCATGGCCAAGACGGGCTGGGAATGATGGGAGCTGACATCCCACATCTCTGGAGAGCCCCAAGTTGAGGTCCACAGGTAGACTCTGAAAAAAGAAAGGCCTCTGGGGCGAGCGGATGCCCCATACAGAAGCAGACTCCCTTTGCTTCGGCTTGGCCCACGGGCAGCAGGAGCAGACCCGGATTAAGAAGCCCACACACACGAGGCAGGAGGCGGGCCTCCTGCTGGCCCTTCCTTGGACAGGGGTGTTCCTGGACTTAAAAGAATGTCCCACTGCAGTATGGTGGAAAATTCGACCCCCCCAGAGGCCCTTCCGATCATGGTCTGGAAGGTCTGGCCCAGAGGTGGGATCTGGACCCCCCAACCTGCCTTTCAAAGCAATACTATGTACCTGGAAGAGGCGCCAAATTTCCCAGAAGGCCACCCAACGCTTTTTAACCCACAGCTGCCATCGCCTAAGAAAAGAAGAGCTGGTCCCAGAAGTCTCTGGGATAATGCAGAGTGGTGCTTGCAAAGGGGTCTCCTGCATGGCATCTGAAGCTGACACCACTCCCCGAGCCTTTCCACGGTGGAAAGCCAGTAAGCGCTTTTATTTCCCAGAGGAAGATCTGTAAGCTGAGCCAGAGCAAGGGAGTTTCGACTGACCCCGTTTCTCACCTTGCTGCAGGCTTTCCCTCCCCCATCAATTTATGGCAGAGGAAAGACGGTGATGGGGGTGTAGGACAGGGAGCAGCACAATCTGAATCCAGGAACTTAAGAAGTGGGCAAAGCAGCCACGGCTCCTTAAAATCCCAAATAAAAAGCCATCCTTAGAAATATATTTAAAAAAACGGAGTCCAGACTTGTGGGACTCCAATTGAGTTGCCAAGGGAGAATAAAACTATATTTGCTATTTACTGAGAAGTAATTCAAACTACCAGGACCAGGATTATTTTTTAAAAAATGCTTTAGGCACTGGAAGGAGAAAGTATTGCAGGGGCGAGACTGGCTGGTGTGTAAGTTCAACCGCGGAAGAAGTGTGACAGCTGACAAAGAAGGACCCATTTTGTCCTCATTCAGCGGGAACAGCGAAGGCTGAGACACACCCTGAGATGGAATCATGGTCCTGAGGCTGCAGCTGGTGCAACAGGGATCGTCTGGGGAAGAGGCTGCCAGTGGCACCTCAAACTCGGCAAGACGGGCCTCCAGAAACATGACCTGGACTGGCAGCACCCAAGAGGCTGACAAGTTGCTGATTCTTTCTTTCAGACATCTTAGGAAGAGATGTAGGTGGAAAGGGCCTTGGTGGGTGAGGCAGAAGGTAGATTTGGACTGTCCGAATACCCACAAGCCCTCGTGCCAAGAGAAGAACGCAACCGGCCAGCAAGTAACAGACAGGGTTCTAAATTGCTTCAGTATGAAGAGTGTGGTTTTAATAGAAAGCTTGGTGAGCCCTGGGGCAAATATAAAGCCAAGGTTTAAAAAAATACAATTCATAATAAAAAGAAAAACCATACATGCATCCCACTAGCCTCATAATATACGGATCTAAGGACGCCATTGCGATGTGGCCTGCAGTGGCTACAGAGCACTCTGAGCAGAGTTCATGCGGTGTGAACTGACTCTCCCTCTTCAGCCGGGCCTTCCACGCACCAGAACAGCAAGTTCTGAGGGTCCGCTCTCGCCTGTGCGAGTGGCTCGCTCCAGGCCGAGTGTGGACACAGAGGGTTACCTGAGCAGCTTGCATGGGTCAACCTGTTAAAAGCCGTGAGGACGCAGACTTGGGGATCCCTTGGGAGCGAGCCGTTTGCATCAAGCTTTCCTGACATACACACAAGGGAAACGTCCCAGGGATCTTCATACGGATGCAGAACGTGTATGTCAGGTCCGGCTTCTCAAGTATGTATCGAGCACTCCCCTACCCCCATCCCTCTGCAAGAGGTCCCAACACACAACCAGGAGAAATCCAAACAGGATGGTCTCAGACAAGGTTTGCCCAGTGCCCCCACGCAGGGCATTATGTCCAGCTCGTTACGTGCGAGAGTTCTTGGGCAAAGCAGCTGTCCCAAGCATTGCAGTGATCCAGGAAGAGCGCAAGAAGGATGCATAGATCAAAGTGGATGGAGAAAGACCACACATCTGGACCTGCCACTCATTCATGCTTCTGGTACACTCACAGAAAGTCAGTTCTTCACCACCCTCTAGCCTGCACAGCGAGTTACTGCCGCCACTTGCTTCAGGCAGCAACTGTCTTTTTCACGGCGGAAATGTGAATTTTAGAGGGATGGGTGGAAAACAAGCCCGGCTGCCTGGATTCACACCTTCGGTTCACACAAGGCCACAGGTAAGCAGTATCTAGAACTAGGCCTGAGGACTAGGCTTGATTTCAGTTCCAGAACCTCCCATATGGAGGAAGATCTCTCATCCTGGGATTCAGGATGCGACAGAGGAGTCTGTTTTGTCCTGGATTGGGAGTGTGGCAAGAAATGGAAGGTGGGGGAGGATGAAGCAGGGGGAAATCAAGGAGAAAGGCAGGCTTACGTGGAGAGAGACCCGGATTCTTACGGAGCGCGATGGCCCGCCTCAGCGGCAGCAGCCTCCACAGTGGCCGCCCAGGTGAGCATGCTGGCCCTCACCAAATTTTGTTCTCCGGCTGAGGATTTCATAGGAGCAGTCGTCCCCACAGCAGCCAGACATGCTAGGGGAGGTATCGTCAATTTCAAACCTGCAAGGTCAGGAGAAGGAAAAGGGATAGGGTGTGCAGAGGGTCAGCTGGTGTTTCCTCGACGGGAGAAGTGCAGCCACATCCCAGAGAGCGCTGTTGTGCCAACGGGCTGCCAGCGGTCAGCTGGCTGCTCCGAGTGCCTGCGCACATGAGCACTTGAGGGCCCAGCAAAATCCGGAGAGCCAATTCACCTGCTATGAACAAGCTGAAATCTAATATTGCGCAGTTCACGCACGGCGTCTATTAAAATGTCTGTACCTATGCTTCCACCAACGAATCCTCTCTTGGCGTGACTAAGAATAGCAAGCACCAGCCCCTGCCCATGGTGTCTTCCGGACTGCGATTCCCAGAACCCCACGGCCAGGGGTTCTGAGGGTTCCAGCCCAACAAAATCTGGAAGGGGCCTGGGTGGGGAAGGCTGGGTTGAGCCTGCAGAAGTCACATAATCACCAAACAGGCCTCCATCCAATGCTCTACAGAAGAGTTGTGCCTCTACCAGTCTTCTGTGGTGCAGTCATGATGGGGCTTCCTTCAAGACACGTTCCGATGTTGTGGTGCGCACTGAGCAAACACTGATCCAGAGCCTCTGCATGTGTGTGTGGCAGATAAAGGGTCTGTCAGGGCTTGGAATGGGAAATAGCAGGCCTTACCAGGCTGCAGCACCCGCTGCACTGGGTACCTGTTCCACCTTGCTCTCCCACAAGGCAGGAGGAGCAGGCACAACCTCTGACGGCCAAGACGAGCATTCAAAGAGTCCGGGAGGTTCAGGGGCCAAACGACAAGCAAGCCTAGCACCAGCTGAAACGGCCAACCCACACACCGCTCCAGCCCAGGCGTGTAAGGAGGGAAAGGAAATACACACTTCTAGAAAGCTCCCACGGCAGAGAAAGTCCAGGCTTCCCAGCGGCCAGCTTGCTTTCTATGAGGAAGAAATCCGTTCTAACTGCACGGAGGAGCATCCTACCCCCGCAAGCCCTCGCCTGTCGAAACACAAGGCCGGCACAAGCCAAAGGGGACGCCAGCCCAACGCCCCCGTCATCGCATCACCCATCCCGAAAGTCTCCCCGGACAGCCAAACTCACTTCCCCCTCCTCAGACAGTTCCACTTCTTCTCGTAAAAATTAACTTGATGTACGGAGTGAGGAGGTACCAGGGCTTCTGGAGGCCCTGCAGCCCCACAGGACAGGCTGTATGTGCCCAGCAGGGGTAAAAGGGCAACCGTGTGTGAACCAGCCCTCCCTGGGCTGGCTAACATCAAGAGGGCCACTTCCAGCGGACGGGGCTGGGGCAGCCAAGGCTCCACTGCTGGGGCCTGCAGTGCTTAAATAAGCAAGCAGGTTAAGGTGAGCTCTCACCTGCCGGACAAGCCTTCCCCTCCCACCTCCCCAACCACCTCCTTTCCACCTCTTGATTTGGGAGACAAAAAGCCCAATTCTTACTGTAAAGCTTCTCTGAAGAACTGGTAGGCCCCGTGATTGTGTTTAAATACTGTTAACATGACTTTCTTCATCTGTGTGCTAAGAAAAGTCAGGGAGAGGCCAAAGTCAGCTTCGTAAACTGAAGATATGAAAAGAAAAGCTTGAAAACTTCCTGGCACTTCAAGCGTTTAGATTCTATTTTAATTCCATATGAAAAGGGACATGTATTATATACAAAGGGCACATATTCAGGATTGGCTGTTTTCCCTTTACATGTACCATACAATCACTGTTAGCACAGGATTTTACCCTGCAGAGTTTTAGCAATTTCAGCAAAGCACTAATTAAATAGTCAAAATGGAGTAAAAGAAATCTAAGTTTTGAAGCTCAGGCTGCTTCGGTGACAGCATAGCGAGCCAATAATAGGGCACTGTAAAGTTGGAAGCAATTATCTTGCATTTGTGTACACCTGTTGTGTGTTAATGAGCTTGTATTTTCTGGGAGTTTTTTGTTTTTGGTTTAAGAAGCTAATGACTAAAAAAAATGAAATTCAGAAATATGTCAGCAGTGCCCGGCGGAAGGTCAGAAACAGGCAACAGGAAGGACTACTGCTATGCAAGAATCCATCTCTCATTCCAAGATCGTCAGGAATTGTGGTCTGGTCCAGATGGAACATCTGAATTTATAAATACATACATGCCTCCAAAGTAAATATAATGTAATGCATAGAATGTAATATACAACTTGAGGCTGGGGTAGTTTTGGGGCTCTGAAGTGTGGTTAACGCTTGCATTCCTATTTCATAAGTGAAACGTTGTAGAAACAGCTAAGTCACCTATTAAATACATGTTGTGAGGCAACCCAAGTGGTGCAGAGAGACCAGAAGGGTGAGGCCCAGGTGTTTGTATCTGTAAAAAAGAATGACAGAGGAAATCCACTAATGGGCATTCTTATAGCTACATTTTCACTGAATGTGAGGCGTGCGTTCACATTTAAACCTGAGAGCAAGCCTTGTCCACATCCAGAGTCTGCTCCAAATGGGCAGGGGTTGGGGCGATGGGCTGAGAGAGAGGGGCCTACACTCCGGAGGAGGATGGGTGCTGCACTTACCCATTTGCCACAAGCTGCAGTATCTGTATGAGAAACTTGCCCAGACCTTTCCGTCTCACTTTGCTTTCCAGCTGTACTTCGTAGCTAGTAGAGAGTGGGGAGAAGAGAAGGATTAATACCAACATACACACAGCTCAAGCACCTCCCACACTTGACGTTTTGCTTGAGAGGGAAAGATCCCCAGCTTGGGTACCTTCCTAACTCAAGTGACTGGGTTCACAGGACACAGCAACCTCGAGTGGGAAACGAGCCACGGCGGGCTGTCATGTCTTGGGAAGCTGGACTGGTTTCCACAGGGTGGCTTTTTGGAGGGCAACAAGCCACACCGCCAGTCCAGGTGTTGTTAGGCCCCGGAATGGGTTGCCGTGCTGCCTGAACACAAGCGAAGGGCCTCGCTGTGGGTCTAGGGATGCAGCAGGCAGAACTGAGAGGAGGCCCCTTGCTGCTCTTGCTGAACTCACCCGGGCCCTCGGCAGCGGCAGCTCCTCCGCCAAGTGGCCAAGCAGCTCAAGCGGCACTTTCACTAGCTTGCCTCTCTTTTTTTGCACTGCAAGGAGTGTCGCATGACTTGCGCAACTATACCTGCAGTGTGAAACCTGCTCCTAGGGAGGGCCCACTGCCAAAGCAGAAACCACCCACAAACAGTGACAGAGCCAGGCTTGAAATTGATTTCTCTGACAGCTGTCAAACAGCAACTTTCCAAGTAAAGCCTCTCTCTTTGTTTGAGAGCTTCGGCCATTTAGAAATAAACCAACTAAGAATAAAATAGAAGAAAGTTCTGGTGGTTTTTGTTTTTTGTTCCGCAAGTCACAGAATGCTGAGTATTTGGGGGCAGAGGAGGAATGGAATCTGGCTCTGCTGACTGGCACGCTGCACAGAAGCACTACACACGCCAGAATTTTGTTTCTGGGACAACGCGTGTGCTGTCCCGCTCAGCGAGCGTCCACTAGGCAGTCCTGAATGCGGGGCTCTGTGGCACTCCTGTTTCTCCGTCCAAACCACGCAGGGGGGAGACATTAGTATGCAAAGCGGGACGACATACCAATAAAGGACCTCGTCACCGCATTCCACATCGAAGCGGAAGTGTGAGAAAGCCACGGGAAGGGAGCCCTCTTCCACAGCGATTAGGTACCAAGCACGGTCATCTGACATCTCGTCTCGTTTCTCCCGGTCTTTCCAGCCCCATTCGCTCTGCTCGTACCTTTGGAGGGGAAGAAAGTAGGAGGGGAAGGAGAGGATGGCAGCTTTGCAACCCTTCTCTTTCAGGTCATCAGACTGGAGATAATATTCATCATATTAAGTGGCCAAGGAGAAGCAGGGAATTGCTGGCTGCAGGTTTGCAACCCTTTCCCCTTCTCCACTTGGGCTACAAGTAGCCCCTCTTGATGACTGAACTCAAAGCCAGGCCCAACTATCTAGCTGTTAGAGAGACGAGAAACCTATTTTGGGTGTCTTGCACTTATAACACAGACATGGCACCTTCTGCAGAGCTCTGCTGACTGTCCTGTGTATTGTTTCCCCTCTCAAGAAAGTTATGAAAAGCAACTCAGCTGCTCTACTGGAAAACTGCAGGATATGCTGAAGCAGATTATATCAAGTTGCATGAACAGTTCATCTAACTCAGCTCTGGCTGCACTGACGGGCAGTGGTTATTCAAGGACTCTCAGACAGATCTTCTTTCCTAGCACCACCTGAACTGGAGATGCCATGGGCTGAAGCGGCAATTTGCTCTGTGCAAAAGCAGGTGCTCTATTATTCGGGGGGGGGGGTGAACTCCTGCTCGTGCCCATCTCCAAAACTGCCTCCCACTCCCCCTGAGTTCCCCTCGGGTCTTACAAGGTCTGCATGTTCGTTTTGGTGAGTTCAAAAGCCCAGTCGAGTGTGGCTGTGTCCAAGCTGGAGACTCGTTTACACTCAATGGAGACATTTAATCTGTAGCAAAACAAAACAGGAGGGAACGAGAGGGGATCAGGACTGGATATGATGGGAAAAGCGTTGCTTGGTGCTTGAATCCCTGATCTGTGAGGCTGGCGATTCCAGGCACGATTTATACTGGGGAGCGGCCAGCCAAGGAAGATACGGAAGGTTGTTCTTGTGAGCTCAGGAGTCAGGGCTGGGTTAGGGAGATCTGGGTTTAAATCCGTTTGGCTTCTGAGAAAAGCATAGAACTCACCCATTCCTGTCATATTTCTTGAACACTGGAAAGGCTTCCAAGGGATCTCCAAGCTATAGAAAGAAAGACAGTCGCTAGAGAAAGGAGAATGATTCTTAAAATCATCACATGTGTCATTTATATCTTCACAGCCACCTTATGAGGTAGTACATGCAATGACTGGGTTTGGGCTATCCAATGAACTTCCTGGTTGAGTGGGCTTTCGAACCCGAGTTTTCTCAGTCCTAATGCACAATTCTAACTGCTATACCAGGCCAGCTCTCCGAGAAGCCGAGGAGAGAAGAAAACAAGGCTCACTTTATTGGCAGCTTCCACCTTGGCACAGACGGCATCCATGGCTGCCCGCTCCTCCAATCGCTTCTGTTTCTTCTCCTTGCCTTTACTTGACTTCCTCTAAAACAAGAAGGACTGAGCTGTTGAAACAAGGCACCTCTCCCAGGAACAACCTGGAACGAAGCTCAATGGCATTGCCACATTGCAGGTTTGCGCTCTCCCATGAACTACCTATCCCAGTAAGCACTGCTTTATGTTGGATATGGTAGGATCTGTATGCTCCAATCTTTTCTCTATTAAGGCAACGTGGCTAAGTAAAATAGACAGACAAGGCGACCTGGCCCGGCAATCCCACCACTTTATCAAACAAACCTTTTGTGGAGTCAGCCAATTAAAGCTTGCAGGGATAAAGTTGTGAATGAACCACTGGCAACACCCATCATTTCATGAGAATGATCAGAGTTGTGATCCAACATCTGGAGGATATTAGGTCAGGAAAGGCCATCTAACAATATTTCCTGTAATGAGATTTCTCCCGCCTATGAAACTTTTAAAAGTGTGTAATGCAGCCTGGAGCACAACAGGGAATCAAGCCCTGGAAGAACAGAATGCAGGCTTCCCACTTAAGGAAACAGTATTTGAAACTTGGCCAGTGTTTTCCACCTTCACTGCAGTGAGCCAACAAAAATCTGACTTGGAACTACTGCCATTAAAAGGGGAAAAAAGACTTGCTTCTGAAGTACTGTAAAGTTTTGCCAGGCTGGTGAGTCAGTGAATACCAGTGGTTCTGAGCCAAAAAATGCACTTAACCTCAGCACAACCCTTCCACCCCCACTAAAGTTCAAACAAGGACACCCCCCCCCCAAAAAAAAAAACACAATGTGTGGCTAGCTGGGAAGTTAGTTCACCACAGAGGAAGTGGGGCAGGAAGGCTGCCAGTCAGAACCTGCAGCCCCGTCCCTTTGCCTCCCACCCCAAATTAGAATATAGATTGTGTATATCTTTGGGCTTAACATGCATGCATATACACGTTTCTATATAAAAGAGCCTTTGCATGTAGAAAGATGGTTATTCCATCTTGCATGGAGGAGTGGGTGATTAACTAACTCTCCTTCACCTATTACAGCCTTGCAAAGTAAATACGCAAAAGAGATACTAGTCTTATGCAAGGAAAGTAATGATAGCAAACTTGAGCTATGACAATTTTCAGGCCAGGCCTTCTGTATCTTTAAGAGGCAAGTCGGATTAACAGAATTTTAGCCACTGTAGCTTCTCTTGCCCCTGCTGCAAAGAATGTACCTGTCCAAGCCTGGCATGCAAAAAAGCTGATTTTTGACTCCTAACAAATATAATCATACTAATGGTATGCTGGTATCCTGCCTCCAGCCCCCGCACTCAAATCCCTTGGTTCTGAGTTCCAGCTTTCAGCATCTATCCCAAAAGGAACATTCCCAAGAGCAAGGCAGAGACACCAAAGCCTCAAGTACAATGGTTGCTTTGACATGCATCTGTGCCAATTACAGGCTCTCAAGGTGCCATCTGGATCCACAAAGCCTGTGAGAGGGACATCCAGGTGTAAGAAGAATCCCAGTTCAAAAAGATGCTAATTGTATTAGCAAAGCTTTCTCTAGATATTCGCATGGGGGGGAAAGGGTGCTCTTTATTTGTTATGGTAATTATGTAAGGTAATAAAACACTCTCATTACTTGTTACTTTTTACATGTAAAGCCTCCTCTAAATAGGAATTAAGCTTTTTATAAGGACAGTCTTCAGAAGAAGTTCAACTACCTACTGATTCCCTATTTTCTTCACCTCAATTCTCCTCCTATATTATTTATTTACTTATTTTATACTGATAATTTTAATTTTATATTATTATGTCCGTAACTCAGTGTATTTTTTGTATTTTTGTATTTAATGGTAATTTATTATGTTCCATTGTATTTCAATGTATTTTATTGTGTTGTAAGCCGCCCCGAGGCTTCGGCAAGGGGCGGCATAGAAATGTAATAATAATAATAATAATAATAATAATAATAATAATAATAATAATAATAATCCATTCTACCCTCTCTCTAATCCCTGCATCCCCTACCTGTTTTTCTCAAATCCCATATATCCCGGTTTTAGCACAGACACTAGTCACAATCCCTTTTCGCATCCTTCCAGTTTCATGCTAGATCCCCCCCACCCCACAATTCAAATCGCTCACAGCCTAACCCCAGATCTTTCCCGTCATGACATCTTTTTCACCCTCCCTCTAACAATCCCTTCACCATCCATTTCATCCTCATTTCCCCCACATAATACAAGTTCCCAAAACTCACTTGTGTTCTTCCAAACTTTCGCTGCCGCTATATTCACTCTGACCTCCCCCCATTCTGCCTCTAGATTTAATAATCATATAAAGCACCATTGCACAGTTACTAACCTTAACATTAGCCACATCGGAGTCCTCCCACCCCGTTTCACCACCCCTATTTTAAATATGGACCCACAAAGTATGCAACTCTTCCTCTCCCTGCACAGTTATCTTCATATACCACAAGAATCCTCCATCCTTAATTGCTGCCTTCCCAAATTTCCTTCTTCCCCATAGCAACCACTCCCCCCCCCCACCAACTTGACTTTGGGGCCACATTAACCCAAACGACCCCCTACCACACACAACTCCATTTCAGCCCTATTATTATGAATACGGCCTCCAGCTTCCCCCCATTTATTACTCTTCCCCCAAAATTAAACTTTCCACTCACCCACATGACCTCTAAGCCCTCCCCACCTCACCCCCAGCACTCCCCTTTTCCTTATTAACGCCCCCCCAGCACTGACACGCAACTCCCCTCTTATTTTCCTTTCTGAAGTAGGAAACTTTCCCCTCCCCGCAAAATATCCCCCTCCTGGTTTCAGCCCCACCAAAACGGCCCCCTCGTTCCCCACCCCCTTTCCTCCACCCGCCTAGGCCTTACTCACTCCCATGGTGATGACGATCGCGAGCCCCCCCCACAGTCGCCTCAGAAATCCTCAAAGCGGGGGGGTCGAAAGGGGGGCGAATCGAGAAAGTGTGTGCCCACTGCGCCTGCGCAGGGCCCCAAACGGCGGGGAAGAAAAGGACAACCAAACCGCACCTGACGCACAAGCGTGGAGGTGGGAGACCTCTAAAGGAGAGCGGGGAGGGGCGGGACAGCGCATGCGCGGCGCCAGGTGTGGGCATGGTTGAGGGCGGAAGGCAGGGAAACGAGGTTTCTGAGGCGCGTGCGCCGATGCGGAAAATGGGCGGTGGCTTCGATTGAGAGGGCGGGGATGGGAAGAGGGGAGGCGAAGGGGTGGGAACGGGGAGAAAGGGAGGGAAAAGGGCGGGAAAGTGCGGAGATGTTTTTTTTAAACCACGGGAGGGGGAGCGCGCGCGTGCGCGCCGCGGTGCTCTGATTGGTCTCGGCATCCGTGGTCCTGCAACGGCCGCTGGTCTCGCACTTGGGGAGGACAGTTGCCGGGGGCGGGGCCGGGGGGGGAATTTCCTTGGCGCTGATTGGCTGATTTCCTTGGGCTCGAGCGAGGGACCTCAATGAGGGAGGCTGCATGTTATGGCCTCTGTCTTGCCCTCCTTTCCGTGAAACCTGAATTGAAACGCAAACTTTTAATGCACAGGCGCTTTGATGCTGCTGCAGGAGGCCTTGCAATAAATAAATGAATGAATAAATAAATGAATGAATGAATAAATAAATAAATAAATATAAAGAACAGTTGGCAGATTAATCTAGAATGTACCACTTTTAAATACTTGTATTGCACTTTTCCAGCATGTGTTCCAAGTGACTTAGTTATTTACTAAAGTGCTGCCCCACAGCCCATTGGACGGTTTACAGACTCCCTTAAAAACATAATAAAAATAGAAGCAAGTTTAAAACAGCCAAAGATAGGCAATAACAAGGAATAACAAAATATAAGAGATAAGGGAAAAAATAAACCACATGTATAAAAATAGTACCGAGACATTTCAGGAGAATCATTCATAGGTAGAAATGAGGGGCTTGTCAGCCAAAACTAGGCCACCCCTGAGCTTCACAGAAGTCTCATTTGACATGCATCATGATCTTTATAAGACTCAAATGATATTTGCAAAGTACGCTCTTGCAAATATTCACACCACCATTTAATTGTTTCTACCTACTGGAGGTGGTGAGCCCCTAAAAAGACAGTTGAATGATTTCCCCCCTGGAAGCAGAGAACAGGGGCATCTTTCTATTTGGAAAGAAGAACTGAAGAAGAAATTAAATAGAGCAGTCTGGCCCAGATACTTTTTACATGAAGGGGAAACCGAGTGCCTCGCATAAATATTAATATTTGTGCTTGGGCTCTTTCTCATGCTCGTTTAATGGTTCACATAGAATTGATCGGCGGGAGACTCAGGACAGGCCAGATAAAGCACCATATAATTCATTTATGAACTTCCCCGCTACAAGATCTGCTGACGGCTGCTGGGTCAGAGAAGGCAATTGGCTTTGTGTCCCAGGAGCATCTTGTTGACCATTTTGGAAGCCTAATGCTCGGTCAAACAGGCCTTTTGTCTGATCCAACAGGACAGATTCTTCCTATGTTCTTTGAAATAAGGTGTACATTTCCTGCGTAGAGCAGGGGCAGCGATTACATCAGCCTTGTCCAGTTGTTTTGGAATACAACTCCCATCATCCCCAGTCAGTGGCTATAGGGCATGTCTGGCTCTTCTGGGAAAGGGTTATTGTAGCCAGAGACTTCCAGGAGGTTCCAGATCAGGGAAGGCTGGACTAGATGATCTCTTAAGTCCCCTTCAGGTTATCTATTGGATCCAAAACGCTGTCTTGATCTTGTATTTTCTGGCTGAAAGCTGAAGCTTGCCATTTTTGCCCAGCTTAGGATTAAGTTTCCAGCTTTTGAGACTGAATTTTTATTTTCAAGTTTAAAATTTCCTTGTATATTTAAGAATCTGCTGCACTTGAAGAGACTTGTTTGCCAGATTAAGAGATCCTTGGGCAGCAGAAGACACCTTTGGAAATGTGTGGCAGGGATGTGATTTCCATGCAGTTGCACTGATGTGCCCGATTAAGCAGTGTCAAATGCTTTTATACATTTATTTTCATTTCAGAGAGTTGGTACAAAATATTACTAAGAGACACGCCAAGAAACACCATGTTCAAATTCTGCCTTAGCCATGAAAGTGGCCTTAGGTTCACTATAGCCTCTTAGCCTGCCTCCCTCCACCTGAATTGTGGGTTGTTGTGTTGTGTGAACCCTGCCGTGGTTTCTTAACCATGAAGAACCCCTCCAAAGAACCCATGGTTTGTTGATGGGTATGTTCCCAGTTAACAAACCACAGTTTGTTGGCATGGCTGGGTTCACACAACACAACCACCCACGATTTAGTGACAATCCAAAGTCTGGGTGGTTTTGTGTTGTACGAACTGCTTTGAATAGTCTTAGCATGGTTATTGTGTTTTGCATTTGGGACAAAATAAGATTTTAAATTGCCCCTCCACCATATTACAAGCCAGAATAGGCGATAGGGTTAGGCGAAAGAGTTAGGGATGTAGTCAACATAGACCAACTCTCCTTTTTTCTGCCGGCTTTCGGGGCACAGTTCTGCAGCCTGTTTTCTATTCTGGTCACTTCCCAATTTCATCTTCTCTGCTCTGAGTTTCCTCATCACCTGCAGCTGCTCTGACACGTAAAATATTTTCCTGGCTCTTCCCAATCTGCTGCTAAAGCAGATAAGCCAATGAAAGCAGCGGCAAGGTGGGGACGCTTGTGGCAGGTTAAGATCAGGTCTAGAGCAGGACTTAACTTGAGCTGAGACTTGGCAGAGGCATGTGGGGCTTCAGCTCTGGAAAGGGTGGGAGGTTTTGAACCTGGGCAGAGTACTCATCACAACAGGATAACCACAACCACACAAATACATCTGGAATCGCAGGTAAGGTTCTTCTTGGCAGATTTGTGCTCCTGTTTTGTAAAGTTTAAACCTTGAAGAATAAATGCAGCCACAACGAGCTGGGTCTGGTGCATCTGAAAAATGTTCGGTTCCAGATACTCCTTAGAGCCCCACATAACGGGCACCCCAGCCGTGGTGCCCTAGATATGCAAAAATATTGATGTGACAAGTACACACGAATTTCTCCGGTGGACTTTGGGGTCAGGCCCCGATGGCTGAGGACTTTTGCTCTCTGCAACCTGTCTTGAGGCAGCCTGGACTTCTGTCTCATCTCAGGAGAAAGGTCTGGTTTTGACCTCCCGTCGGTCTCTTTTTGACCTCCATCCATCCATCCATCCATCCATCCAGGGCTGCTCGGCAAAGTTTTCTGAATATGTGAGCGTGAGGAGAGGAGACCGCATTGGTTGCGGGGGGGGGGGGGGGGAATCGGAAGGATGCTGGCAGAGAGGGTACGGAGGGGCTCGCTTTGTGCCTGATTTGTTCTTTCATCATCAAACAACAAATTGATCCTGGAGCATCTCGCTGGTGAGGAGAAGCTTTTACTTTGAAACACAAAGGCAGAAAGGCTTTGGATCTTTATTCCCCCCATCCATGCAATCCCTACAGATGCTCATTCCGACTGCAGTAGCTGGAGGGGACGGCTGCTTTGCCCGAGGCCGCAATCCACAGCACCACACTTAAGCTTCGTCTTAGTGCAGCGTTAAAACTGTTTTTAGTGCAGAAAAATATGTTGGTTTTGACCTGGGGGGCGGTGCTGCCTCATCATAATGCTTCCGACATTTACATAGCACATTTCAAATATTCAAAGAGTTTGACACAACCTTAGTAAATCTAACAACAGCCCTTTAAAGTTAGACCAGTATTATTCTCCCCAAGGTCCATGTGGGGAGCAGAAGTGGACAGAGCTGTAGCTTGCCTAATAAGGCCACGCAGGACACAATCCTATGACTGTTTAGATTGGAAAAATACCCTATAGCTCCCAGCATGCCCCTTGCTGACTGGAGAGGGTTGGGAGCTATAGAACCTGTTTCCTGTTGAAACTTTCATGGGATTGCACCCTTAGTGTGCTCACAGCAGAGGTGAGATTTGATCTAGAAATAGTCCAGCTCACTGCCTGGATACAATAATTGCTTTGCCAACTCTTTAATCTACAGAATTTCAGCATATTCTCAGTTGCTTTCCCACCTCAGACCTGATCTGTGGTCTTTTTTTTTTTTTTTTGGTCTTGCATCAACAGCCCATCTAACGTGGCCCTGAAAAGTCAGGGCTACTGACTCTTGCAGACTCTTCCTTTTAAAGCAGCTAATTAATTTCTTTCACTTGAAATGTTCTTGCAATTTTTTGTAGTTTGACCTTATTCTATCTTGCAATTACAGAACTAAAAACAAAGTTAGTGTGCCGTTCTGTGAATTAATGCTCAAACACCGTCCAGAGAACAAGAACTGTTTAATTTTAATTTAGGGAGATTTTAGCTTAGCATGTTAAAGGTAAAAAGTCCCTAGTTCAAGGAGAATCAAAAAAGGACATGCTTCTGCCTAAAGGTATATTAGGCCTTGTCCATTGCAATCAATATGTTTTTAAATTGAGAAAATACTGCTCAATTTAGCGCTCTATAGAACCACTATTTAAATTCCAAATTTAAGGATTCCAAAGTGCGATGCAGCCCCAGTGCAGAAACTGAAAGGAGAGTTTTCTATCCTTGACTGCTCCAAGTCAATAAGAGTTGGATGGGGACACCACACCTGGTATGAAAAACTGGAGTCAGAAAGGTTGATGCTGCTGGTTCTAGAATTTCAATGAAATTTGTTGTAGAGTTGGCAAGAGTTGTGTATGTTTCTAATCAAAGCCTGACACCAGAGGGCGCCTGTGCTGCAGGGTTTCTCCTTCCAAGCTAGGAGGAAAGGGGAGAGCGTGGACCCCCCACCCCAGGCCTCCTCCCAGCGGAGGAGAGGAGATGGGCTGGCTGGAATGGGGAATTTAACTGGGGGGTGGTGCAAAGTCACCCCAGGTTCATGTGCTGAAGACTTCCAGGTGCATCATGGGACATGGCTGCTTGCTCTGTACTGGGGTCATATGATCTTGAGCTCGGGTTGTGTGTCCGCGGCTTGAAGGAAATGCCCCTGAGGTTTGCAGGAAAAGTCAAAGAGGAACGGAGGTGGCCAGAGTGGCGTCATGCAGCCAAGTGTAATTCTCAG